AATTAAGGCAGCCTTCGTGTGTTAAATTGTTTTAAGCATTATATAAAGCGCGCGAAATTAATGAAAATTGGAAGTGACGAAAGCGCGAAACACATATGAGCAAATATCGCATCGCATCGCAGCGCCGCGCGGCGTAACTATAGAAACGAGCAGACATGTGCGTAACGCGTTGTTAGTCACGAATTACTTCTACCTGGTTACTTTTTTCGGCAGCGAGTAGCTTTTTTAGTTATTTTTTTTTTTTTTTGAAAAGGAACGAGTAGCGTGCTTAGTTACTCTTAAGGTCACGTAACGAGTAACGGTAGTTCGTTACTTTTGAGAAGTAACGTGTACAAAAACGCTTAAACTGCCTCCGTTTCATCCGAAGCTGAGTATGCGTCTTTTGCCACAAAGGCGGAGGGGTAACCCGGAAAAACAAATAATCGCTGACCACGCTAGTCGAACTCTAGAGATGGGAACATACTTCACACAGAGAACACAATAAGGATCGTTGGTTGAACTTTCTAGGGTCGGGTACAGACCGAATGTAAAGCCGTTGGTTGCCGACGCTAAAGGCACAGAACCCATTCTCAACTTGGAACTTTAGAAGCAGAGAGTAGAGAAGAGAGACGGGAATCCCAGATTGACCAGATCTTGCTGAAGCACAACACTGCCATTCCTTTGAGCGCGTCAGTAGAACGACTCTTTTGCGTAGCCGGAGATGTATTCTCAGGGAAGCGGGAAAACATGACCGATGGCAACTTTGAGAGGCAACTATACTTAAGTGCAACGACTACTGAAAAGAAAACAATAACCCATGAAACTTAAATGGTTGTGTATTTGGTCCTCCAAGTAACAAGAACGTAACTCGTTACATTTGGCGTAAACTAACTCGTCTTCTTTTTCTTTTTTTCGTTTTTTTTAGAATCGGTAACGAGTGATTTATTGAGTTGCATTTTGAGCGAGTAACGAATAACAATATTTAGTCACTTTTTTTTTTTTTCGGGGGGGGGGGGGGGGGGGGGCGTTACGTGTACATGTCTGGAAACCAGCAACGACAGAGTGGGTGTGTGTATATATGTTTGTTTTTCCGAATAAAAATTCAGTTGAAAGTAGCGCATCGTTTCGTCCATTCCTTCTGTTGTCCTTGTTTTCTGGAGCTTTTCGAATCTACGACAGACGCGGTCGTCATGGTTACGCCGCTCAGCGGCGCGATTTTCGCTCGCATGTGTTTCACGCTTTATGGTACTAACCATCGCAGTTCCCTAACAAATAATCGCGTGGAATTATTTTTTTTAAAGAAAAGGAATTAATCATCCCATGGAGCGAACCGACGTCATCAGCTTTGAAGCCGCGCTAAACGGCGCCTTCCCCTGTCTCGATGTCGTCTGTAGCAGAAATCTGATGGCTAGGCTCCCATTGGCTGGCGCGCGTCATCAAGGAACGAGGCTCCCATTCGCTCTCGTGCGGAGTCGTTCCAAACAAAGCTACGAGAAAAGCTTCTCTCCATGGCGGCGCAGCGCACGCAGCGGCCCGGCCGCTGGTAAGAGGGAGCGGTAGCCGCAGAGCTGGCGGAGCCCGCCCGGGCAAACTCCGGAAAGGCTGCACGGCCGATTTTAGCCCGGCGGGGCCACTTACGAGAGTGCGCGCTCGGCCGTCGGCCGTCGAAACTTGGCCATCCACACCACTACGCCCCAGACGAACTAAATAAAAGAGCGGAAGAACGACATTCATGGTTTCGCATTCACAACTCATAAGAAGTGCGTAGGTGTCCTCGGACTTTAGTTGATCCCGCGCGCTTTAATTAATGGTAGAAAAGATTACAAATACAAAAGCTAAGTTGATGGAAACGACACAAGGGAATGTCTCTCAACACTACAACTTTTGCATTTGAGGGTTTATGCGCAAATAGAAAACAATAATTAATTTGTGCCCATTAACCAGCATGGCACGTTGTAATTTTTTTTTTATTTCCTCAATGGTAGTGTTATTTATACTGCGTTGGCTTGAGACAAGGAACGTGTACCAGCTTTTCTTTTTTTTAAGTCTTGGTACAAGTAACTTGAAACATCGTGCACATGAGAATGCACAGGGTGTCCCAAAAATAATTTTGTGTCGTATGTTTTTGTTTTTTTCACTTCGAAAACAAATTACGCATCTTCGAATCCTCATCTTTTGCCAAAGGTATACTCTAAAAAAAGTCTCTGCGTCTACTTTCACGCACAACACTCGGAGAACCAATCAGCGCAACTTACGGAGGCAGCTCAGCGAATGACGATGCCGAAACATATGTTTAGACAAACAAACGCAGTCTGAGTTGTGACATTAAGCAATGCAAGCGTGACGTTTTGCATTGCTTAATGTCACAACTCAGACTGCACTTTTTGGTCTAAACAGATGTTTCGGCATCGTCATTCGCTGAGCTGCCTCCACAAGTTGCGGTGATTGGCTCTCCCAGTGTTGTGTGGGAAAGTAGCCGCACGGGCTTTTTTTAGAGTGATAGCGCTAGCGGTCCGAACCGGATGCCAAAGGTTCAGCGCCAACCGGTATTTTATTCAAAAGTTATGTTTTTTCTGACGTTTTCAATGGGAAAATGGCGGCCCACAGCGCTCTTGTACATATAGAGTTCTGTGGCGCCAGTTACTGAAAACGGGTGAAAATAAACTCTATTTTCCCATCGAAACTTACAGAAAATCACTTGTAACTTTCGAATAAGATGACGGTTAGTACTAAAACTTCCGAATCTGATTCGGACTGCTAGCTCTACATTTCGGCGGGGAAGCTTTCGGCGATACGTAGTTTGTTATTGAGATTATAAAACCCTGTAATTGTGTGTGTGTGTGTGGAAAGGGGGAGGATGGGCCGCAGACACATTTTGGTTTAAATTATAATTATTAAGAAGTTACCTCCTCTGTGATGTCCAGTAACCCCTGACGCAAACTGACATGATCGTTTTGAGAAGAAAGCCATGCTGTGTGTTAATATTATTTTAACAAAAATGTCTACCGATAAATAGGATGAACGTGGATAATTTAAAGGCCAGGTTCCGTGAATAACTTGGAAAGAAACATTGCCCAATGCATCAAAACTTTTACCCTTAATCATTTTGAGCGTCATTTTTTATTTTTTATTATTATCATTATTCTTATTTGTCGCACATTACAAGTCAACCTGTTCATAGGCACAAAATAGAGAAACCCAATTGAAATAAGCTTAAGCCGATGTTATAATAAATGCTTTCGCCATCAAGGGAGAAATGTACAAGCTTTGGTATATGTACACCGGAAGCGGCTTCACCGTTGTTATAAACTCTAAACCTGAAATGAAATACTGTACTCACATCCTGCAAATAGTTTGCTTCGTGATGTTTCATTTCAAATGGGCAGTCTGTTCAGCAAACTGAAGGCGAAAATATTGAGCGAACGTCCGCAATCTTGGCGCTTGGCAATACTAGGCTCGTCTCTACGATTCTGTACTTTTCCCACCCAACTTAATTAGGTTCCCGAAGCCTCGTCCCGCTCAATACGAAAGCTCACGGGAAGCGTCGCCTTTATCAACGTGTTAGCCGCACATTAAGTTTAACGTTCGTCCGAATGGGCAACGGAATTAATAAAAAGCAGACTCGCCGGCATGACCAGGGACGCTTTTTTTTTTTCAAAGGTCTTTTAAGCATTATACCAAAGCAGATAACTGAGGAGAAGACCTAGTATCGGAGAACAAAAGAACGGAAATAACCGTAACGTAAAGCAACTTTCTCCCCTTCATCGTTTTGTAAAAAGAGCTTTGCAAAAAGAAAAAAAAAACACAAATAAGGGGGCGGCGGCAAGCGACGGCAGTCGAGAGAAAAACATTTAAAAAGGGTGACTTTCAAAAACCTTTCAGCCTACTTTATTTTATTTATTTCTCTCCTCTACTCCTTTGTTTTCGTTTCCACGGTTTTATAGGGCGATTAAGAGCTGCAGAGACCCGCTTTCGGAGGACTTTGTCCCCAAATCCCCATCTCGAATGCGGCAGCGGGGGGAACGCACCTGAATCGCGGCCTGGGGCCGTGGTATTTAGGCGCGAAACGAGGGATGAGGAACCCGATCGACGTTGGGCTCGAGCTTCGAAGAACCCCCCCTGGTTTCATTCTGGAAATGAAGGCCCGAGTCCCTCGGACGGGCTCGGGTCTAGGTCTGGCAAAGCGTACGTGCGTGCTCTCAATAGAACGCCGCTACTCTCTCTCTCTCTCTCTCTCTCTCTTTCTCTCTCTCTCTCTCTCTCTCTCTCTCTCTCTGTCCCGTCTTGCTGAGGGAGCGGCGCCATTGTGTTTGACCGAGGTGGGATTGACTTCACTGCGGTGCAGCAGGACGACCTAAAACGTCATGTGGGAAAGCCGCCCCAAAATATTGAGTGGGGCGAAACGGCAAGCAGGTTCGTTGATCCTTCGGCATTGTCGCTGATGACCAGGCGGCCGACTTGAAATACAGCTGGTTATAAAGCTCGAGGACAAAGTGCTGTTTTATAAAATACGCGACACCTCCATTTTGGGACTGAGATACTACGCCATTAAAATTACTTCTTTCTATTTATTTTTAACGTGTGTATAAGGAATTGCTCGTTTCGATTTCAACGCATAGGGGGAAACTTTGTTGACGCTAACAATTCCTTCCAAAACGCCGTAAATATCGTGGTAATGACTAATTCTGTGGCTATATATAAGGTTAATGTAACGACTTGGGGGGCCTTTATTTGGTACTCAATCGCACTCGATAGCTATACGTATAATAATAAGAGTCCTTGCGGAGGATTAATGAAACGTGGTTATCAAGATAAACTGGAATTTCGATTTGGTAGCGCCACAGAAGCGCAGTTTAACGGTAGGAGAAAAGTTCCCGGCAAAATTAAACCTACTATTCCTTTATTATTTTGTTTCATTATTAAAAGAATACCGCAGCACTTACGCATACAGACGGATATTTAAATAAACAAACAGCTCACAAACTTGTGTCAAAACCAAATTCATATTGACGTATACTTACCAATGTGTGATGTGCTCCAAAGGCATGTTGTGGGACCCCTGCAAGAAAAGAAAGATAACTTGTTAACAACTATGAAGCGACACAAAAGAGATACAGACACACCGTGACTAACAATTTCTTGTGAAATCGTTTATATATTTTTTTTTTCTTTTCCAGCTCTCAGAAATATTTTATTTTTATTCACTGGGACCTGCATGCAGATTAACCTGGCAAAATTAAAAGTCGTCATAAAATAACTCGTGTAAAATTTCGCATAAAAAATTACTGTAACACACTAAATAATTCAGATACAACCTCCAAGCTTTAAAATCTACAGCGAATTATACCTTTACGTTTCTTTTCTGTTTTCTTTTTATACCAGGTACGTATCTCGTACAGCTTTAAACTTTTGCGTTTTTCTTTTCGTTTTTTATACCATGCACCTCGTAGATCCCCGCTTGGCTCTGGCGTAGTCGCGTGTTTTACATTATCACTGCAAGTTCTTCATTTAAGTAAGGAAAATGTTTATTTTTAAACCGACCTGAATTCTACAATGGGCACGTAGACAAAACAAAAATCCTACAACAGAGCAAGCTCTGTAATTGCTTCACTATCACAGCTGTAAAGAGCGATACTTGTGTAACCTATGTACTATTTAAAAACCGATGTATCGGACCTAGTTCGACGGAAAACCGGATATAGACTCGACTAGACAATTCCGAAGGCGCTCCATCAATTTCGACCTAGGCAATTGCAAAATGGCAAACGCTAAGACGACCAGCAACGGTGATCAAGTGCATATTGAATAACCAAAAAAATGAGTAAACAGTCAATCAAATTTCCTGCTGTCGCATATGCCGTCAGTGCAAACCTTCAAACTTTTACAGCATTTCTGGCCATAGATATTTGAGGCCTCTGACCAAAGCTGCCGACCCGAGGGAATCTTCCCATGTTAAAATAATATTCATGCCTATGTTGGAATAAGGGGAACCTTGCTAGTTCGAGAGAAATTTCGGGCACCTTATATATCTGGAATTTTATAGGTCAATTATGATTTTTTTTTCTAAATAACATCAAATTTCAGCGGCTTCCGCTACATTTGGGTTGTTTCCTCCAGCCGTTTGGCGGTCTGTGGTGCGTCCATCTGGCAACACCGATGAGTACTAGGCTATGTGGCGCAAGATACCGCCCGTTATAAAGGGTACAGTATTTAGCATTCATCCATCCATCTAACATTTTTCGGAAAAATCAGTTTTCATCGCCCCCTGAAAACTATGGAAGAAGGTACCAGCGAAGTCGAAGATGCTGAGAGCGCCACTGTGCCATCTCCAAAGAAATAAAGCTTGAGTGCGAGAAGAAATACTGCAATGTCTGGAGATACAGGCTTACCATGACTAATAATATTTCGTGAAGTGCCGTCGTGTTCGTGTGTTCGTGTTTGAGAACTCTCGCTTGTGTTACACCTTTTGTTTTGGACTAACTACAGTTTGATCCAGGGTAGGCCTGAATTCTAGATGCCGTGAGGACAACCCACTATTTTTTTCGATGAGCCAATAAAAGCTCGGCGTTCTGACATCATCAATACCCTTGTGCAAGAAGCAGACGAACTTGCGCTTCGCATGTATTCTTCATAGTAAAAATGGAATTGATGACAAAACGAGAAATATTTAGTATTATATAAGTATATGTGCAAGCGAGGGAACTTTCAGCAGATGTGAGAAAATTTCAAGCGTCCGCTAGGAAAATCTTGACTGTCCGTGTTGGCAGCCCGGCCTCTAACTCTGCAGTTAAATTATTATTTTCAAATTGGACTCATAATTGTTTTAAATATTAATAAATCTTAAGTAGGAGTCGCAATACTACGTTGAGGCACGTTTAGATATTCGAAACAAACCGGCATTATCAACAGAAAGTGGGTAGGGCACAAGCACAAACGACGCAATTTGTCCTGGGATAACGAAGAACTGTTTTAACTGTTTTTGTGAATATATTTATGCGGGGACAGGTCAGTCATTATGCGACCATTATGCATAAAATTTTGCATAATGGTCGTAGAGGCCCATAAGCGTGAATCATCTCTGTTGCAACAAAGCTATGTCATTTTAACGTCTGTCTTTTTATTGACATAGAGTAGAATTTACTCGGCATCAAAAAGAACTGCACGATAAGGAATTTAATACACATTTCACCATCGGTGTACCGCATCATGACACTCGTGACTTAGGAAAAACTAAAAGGTCGGACGACGGCAGAAGTATTTCTTTAGACATGAAGTGCTTTTTAACGGTACCCTCCATCCCAAAATTCTGTCCGGCCGTCCGTCCGTGTGCTTCCCGCTAGATTTAGCGGAGAAATGTACGTCAAATGACGACGTCACGGGGCCGATACGCCATTTCAGATTTCCCCTCAATGTAACGAAGAAATTGGCGTCACGTGACCTAAACATTAATTCAGTTTCCACTCAAAATTTATCGGGAATATTGATTTCACCAATACAATTTCCGGGCTAAATTTAGTGGGAAAGTAAACGTCACATGATCTACGCACAAAGGTTTTTCGCTACATTCAGCGAGGAAACTGATAAAAAATACAGGCTCTTCTTTACTCCCCGAAACAATCGTCTTCTAAACGAATTCCACCGACGGTTCCATAATTAAATACTGCATTTTGTGATATTATAGGACTTCCAAGACAAGGGTCGCTGCCAATGTTATCCTTTAGTTTTCCTCGTTCTCGAACATTACATCTCGAATTTAGACCAACTGGACTTCCTGATGATTGTTGTGTACCGCTTGTTGAATTTCTGGTGAAGACATGTCATCAAATTTATGGTTTGGTGTAATCTTGATGGAAATTTTAAGGAATAAATCAACATGAGTTAAAGGTGAATTTTGTTTCTGACGTACATCAGTACAAAGATATATTAAAATATTTTTTTTTGCCTTCGTTAATGAATGTGCAGAATAATTTTCCGTCGTGAATCCCAAAAGAATCATCCGATTTTTTTATACGTGCTGTTTTCTGCGTGGAATAATAACATGATTTTGTTAAGGCTAACGTTCATTACCATCCTTTCAGCCGATAGAGCACGCACTGGGAAGCTCATTTTCGACCAACCGGATGGTCACGCCTCCTGAATAAAAAGAAAAAGGAGATATATTTTGGCGACAAACAGAACGCGTAGTCGGGCCTGCCGGGTGTTGTCCCCTAAGGGGCTGCCTAAGAAATATCCAAAAAGGAAACACAACATTGCAGTCAATAGCCTGTTCGTCTCCCTAAGACGTGGCTCAAAGAAGCCAGTGTCGCTCATGTAAAATATTCGTACGTGTGGAAATAGGGTGATCAATTCCCAACCGGAAGCTTCCGTTTCAAGCTCTCTTTGAAATCATTTTAACGCCGAAAAATGTATTGGTGGGAAGAATATTATTCCCACCAATAATGTACGCAATCTACAGCGTCGTGAAGATTCAAACTATGAAAGTGAGATCTGCGATGTTTACCCCACCCCCAGGACGTGCACGCCACCTTTGCTGCAAACATAGTTAGTTGCCCAGGATCTCAATTTCAAGCGACTCAGGGTTCACGGGCACTAAAGCGCTATCAAGACGTTTCACCTGCAAACCATATAAGGGAGATATAAAAAAAAAAACTTTATAATGTTGCAGATGCTTCAGGTGCGATCCCCAGCCATGGAATGTGTCTCTGCTAATTTTCCAGATATCTTAAACAAGGCTCTCCTACAGAAGTTTGTAGATAGATTCCAATTAGGCATTGAAAACAAAACGCCCATCTCAAAGACTAATCAAAGTCAATAAAGATTTTTAGGCATTGTAACTTGTAGAGTAATTTCACTATTATTTAGAAGAAGGCGTTATTTGGTTGGCTACAAGACTCCTTTAAGCGCATGTAGCTCATTCAAGTACATCGGCCTGCAACTCAACGCGTAATAACTTGAAACATACCTCCCTCGAGTTTGCGTCTCAAACATCTAAAACCCCAGTGATGCCTCTCTTACGCGCAATATTCGGCCAGGACCAAATATATATAAAAAAAACACACACACACAAAGCAGCTCTTTCCGTTTCGGTCAAGCGCGTTCTCTTGTGCAGATCGCACAACACCTCGGCCGTAACCTCCAAACCGGCGACACGCTCGACGAATTGCGCGAGCAAGGGCAACACCTGAGGAGCCTCTGGTGTTCCAGCTGTCGCATCCAGAGCATGACGAATGGGCGTTTGAAAACATCTGAAGTTCACTCGCCGATGCAACAGCGGAACGTTTTACTTTGATGTATTTTATTTTCCTCGGCGGTATGGCGTCGCTTGACACAGTTCGCGCCCCCGGGCCGCTACGCAAAAAGCATTCGTCGCAGACCTCGAAATTCAAGGCCACCACCCGCCATGCTTTCCAGTGCTCTTCCGTGTCGTGGTTACGGCGCGTGCACATGTGCTTCTCAATTTTATTCTGGGCGCGCTGCCCAACGCCTCGTCAAAATTACATGCTGTTGTCCGATCTCCGATTTCGCTTTCGACACAACGCGCGTGAATTCGCGGTGCGCACTGAGCAGAAGTGATCGCGTTCTTTGCGCCCGAGTTCACGCAATAATCGCAAATATGAAACCTTCCAGCAGGATCCAGAAGACGGGAAGGAAGTCGTCGCTTTTGTTAGGCCTTCTCTGCGAATGACTGCGTGACACCTTTCATGCAATGCAACTGTGAGTTAAGAAAGCGTGGCGGGCAAACTGCTCCTGCTGCTTGTCATTGACGCCTGTCCTGGCCCATTTCTTTTCCTTTATAAGCGATCACGAAAAAAGTCCGCCTGTCTCTGTGTCTGTCTGTCTCTGTCTGTGTGTGTGTGTGTGTGGGGGGGGGGGGGGATTTACTCTCAGTTTATATTTTCAGTATCGTTTAATTGAAACCACCGTACTCATCCTTAACTTCGTATGAAAACATGCGCGAAAATATGCTATTTAAAATCGCAGCAGACGCCATAGTTAAATCGTTTTCATTATATACGATGCAAAGAAGACCGTTTGCGCCACGTTATTCGAAATTCGTCG